ACTGGTCTGATCTAGTCTCTTATAAACAGACACTACAACAACAAAAAACTTGTACCTCGCAATGTTGTAGTCTGTCAGTTACCCGCTGTCATTGATCAGAGATCGACCTTATTATATAATCAACATTTTCGCGAATGCAGACCACATCGTAGGACACGTATTTCAGTGAAATGCTACTTGCAAAGTATTTCAGAGCAGAAAACCTGCAATTTCCCTTGGCAAAATTTCCCAAAGGACGAGGGCTGATTTTCTCGTGTTAATGGGCTTACAAAGCAGCCTCTTGGTTTGGTGGACAAGGGAGCAAACCTCAGAATTTTTGAGAGGGCCGAAGGATTCCTCAGAGATTAATGTCCAATCTGGCTTACTAGATTTACGGCCAAGCTTGAGGAAGTGTTCAAATGGCCTTGCCAGAAATTCAAACTCCGAAGAATATGTAACAAGGTCGATCTCCCATCATTAGGGGCGTGGCAAACTACAGACTAGGTCTGATCGCCTCGGGGCGCAATCTCATTCGATACTGCACGGAAACCTCTCAATCCTTTTCATATTCTACATTAATACATGTGTCGGTTCAATTTACGGTACTTCCGAAGGCATTCGGCCCAAACATGAGCGAGATTAACTGCATTCTGCACTTCTAGAACATTTTGCACTGCAAAGTGATCCATAGTAGGTTCGGAGCAAAGCTGTTGCCTCTCCGGCCCTTCGCTTGAAGAACGGCCCCTATGTGTTTGGTTTACTTGTCCACCCTGCATTGCACGGCATCGTCGGAACGGGGCTTGGAACAAACCTACTATTTTGACCGTAGATTCAAGCCTTGTGACCTGTGACCCATCAGATTCAACGTTCATAGCATTAAAGGTGGCCGGGACCTGTGACCACCATTTTTATCATTCAACCATCAAATTGACAAATGTCACAAAATGTTGACCTTGGTGTAGATTAGGCCAACACACCCATGAAAGGCATGCAAAGGGCCAATTTTGAACCAGAAAATTCACAAGAGGAGAAAATTTTGCATGGATTTACTATAGGAAAGTCATTTTTTCACCTTGGAGGAAATTTTGAATTTTCACAGCCTAGGCTGGGCAAAACGGTCACAAATTCAGACTCCGTTCGGATCGTCCTGACACCTCCAGGATCAGGATCAGCTTCAGGATCGGGGCTCGGTCTGGTAACGCCTCACAGATGCGTAACATTAGGGGCAGTCAGAGTAGGCGATTATGGCCGATTATGGCGCCGATTCTCATGTCGATTCTGCCCCGATTCTCGAATTTATTTCATGGCAGAATCGTGCGAGAATCAGCCCAGAATCGCCTTAACTCTGACCGCCCGATTCTCGTTCCGATTCTTGTCAAATTCTCGTAACCAGGTGAAGACAAACTATCGAGAATCGTTGTCGAATCGACTCCAGAGTCGATTCAACGATTCTCGCCGATTATGATTTTCCGACGATTCTCGCGATTCTCTCACGAATAAATAATTCGAGAATCGTCGCAGAATCGATACAATAATCGGTGTCAGAATCGGCGAGAATCGCCTACTCTGACTGCCCCTATTTATGTAACACTCTGAGAATTTTACTTTCTGCACCTCTGCGCAACCTCTGCGTGAGATTTATGTTCATAAAGTGCTGTAGGTGGTAGGATGATACTAAAGATGTCAAAGCAACAAAAGTAGCGGCGGAGAGTTATTATCTACTGTTATCTTTTGTTATCAAATCATCATCTTACACCGGGCGGGTACAACATTGCCGGATCGGGTAGTCGGTTGCCGGGTTACCGATCCTGCATCCTTGAAGCTGATCCGTCTTCAGGATGATCCGAACGGACTCTCAAGCTCCCTGGTGACCTGTGACCTTTATTACAGCTATTTGCAGAACTTAGGGCACCGATCAAATTTTTATCAAAAATTGTTGTTTTGACTGCTACCCCCGACATCAGACTTTTGACATCTTTAGTTGTCAGGTTGTACAACCTCGCAACCCCCACCAAAATTGGTGCAACCTTGCGCAACCTCACAACCTCACAACCCTATGTAATCTTCTGAACAACCTCGACAGTTCGAGCCGGTGCGAGGCCAAAATTTGTCTTTCTTCAAAAAAAGGAATTTGTGGTGATTATACTTACCGCAATGCTTAGAAGACTTCTAGCACAGTTTTACATTGTTTTGGAACTATTTAAAACACTTTGTTACTGCTAATTTGGAGATTTTTGAGGTTGTCAGGTTGCGGTAACCTGACAACCCCAAACAACCGACAATCAAAATGTCAAAAGGCTGATGGATATCTTACTCAGTTCTTCACATGGAGCCTTGGGTCTGCTGGCGATTGATTTCTACAGGGATTCCCCACTGGTGCTTAGGCTGGTCCTTGTATTTATTCTGCCCGCTGGTGGCTTTGGAAGCAAATGCAGATGATGTTCCACTGCTGACCCAGTTTAAGGGCATGTGCAAGTCAAGATGCCCCAGAGTTCTGTCAGACAACTCCTTGGTATACCCCGAAGTAAGTGTGGGACAGTTCAATAAGCAAGGTACCATCCTGTTGCTTCACAGACACCATTCTGATAAATATTGCATTTTTTGATGTCCTTGTTTATATGTTTCTCATGAGGTAATTGGAGCCCAGGGCATCCAGCGCACTTCATTACACATAGATGAACATACAGACAAAATCTGCAGTTCTACAATGGATCCTAGTCTCTCGCAGCCAGACACTTCAACCTGCGACGCTCGTACCTCACTTGTTGAAGTCTGTTATTTACCGCGGGGGTCGGATCGTGTAGCCGCCTTATTATGTAATCTCGCATAAGCAGAAATCATCGGTGTGTGTATTCGCTCTTGCACGAAATCGGGCTAACTAATTCCATGGCACCTCTGTTATTAGTACTACCAGAGCTGTCTCCCTTATTTTTCTGGGGAATTTTTGACTGGTATTAAATATCTGGGGTGTGCATCACTTGAGAATCGGCTTTACCCGGGCCTTTCGGCAAACCGAGTTTGAAGTCGTTTCGCGAGGTTCCAGGCTGCCAGGACGGTTAGGAGAGACTCAGCAACCCTATCCATGTACAAACCATGCAGAAAGTCGCGTCCTTTTCACCCAATTCTTTGCGCGACGAAAGTTGCTTATGTGCGATTACATAATAACGCGGATACACGATCCGACCCCCGTTGTAACAACAAGACTAAATGGATCCTGCCCTTGGTGTCGGGGCAGCAAGGTAAATTACCGTGATTCTGCCTACTCAGCCATCCGTGAATAAGAGAGGGATTTTAAACAGGCCAAGCACTGTGGAGTATCTGTTAAAAATGACTGGTGAAGGAATCAGGGCATTTGAAGCCAAATTGAGCGTGTTCTTGGGGCAGCAATGAAAGTGATCAAAAGTGGACATTTTTAGAAAAAAACTGATCCGCGCCCTAAGTTCCGCAAATAGCTGTAAATAGGTTCAATTCACCAAGGTCTGTGACCCGTGACTTGAATGTACGGTGGAAATAGTACAGTATCGCTATTGAATGAACTTTAGTAGTCCTCTTTGAATACAGATCCATTGGTTTTTTTGATCAACAGTGATCAGCTGGAGGATAGTAGCTATGGTTGCATTTGTGCTTTGCGTGAGGCCTTGAGGATGTGAAGGTGTTGCAGATTGTGTGGATGTGGTACTTACGTGGCTGCCAAATGGATTGACAACAAGCTTTCATCTCGCACTGACAGCGAAAATTCAGTATTATTGCAGATCAATTTGAACATCAAGATGTGCAAAATGCAGAAAAAATGTGCTGGTACCTCGCGTTATAGATGTTTGGACCTCCTTTTACTTAACAACTGGAAAAGAACAAGACAAGCAATGTACAACAAGACCACCTCCCAACCCCGAGTCAAATGGGGATCTCCTTCCTACATATAAGCTTGCATATAAGTACTACTTGACAGCTCACGCAAAGCAGCTGCACACCATGCACCATCCAGTGTTCTCCTCTCTACTTCAACCTTCAGTAGATCTGGTGGCACGACATGGTCAAAAGCAAAGTTCTCGAGTTGGTCAACAAATTTTGGATGCGGCTGCATCACATATTGCCTCAAGTTCAATGAGGTTTGAAAGAGGAATGCTCGTTGGGAAATCTGCAAAAAAGATGAGGGTGATAAGGAAGGAAGGATTGCAACACCAACAAGGGCCTACATCGAATCACGCGATCCCGAGTCAAACGGGATGTGCGGCGGGTGAATGAAAGCAGATAGATGCACACCATGTTTTCTCTCCCTACTTCAATGTTCAACCCTGGAACATGTGTTGACAAAACTTTGGTTGAGGAAAAAAATGATAACCCAGCCAATTGATCACCCGACTTTGAGTCGAACGGGGGCCTCCTGCCTATACCTGATGGTGACCAAAGGTAAAGCAGGTGCACGCCATGTGCTATCAGGTGTTCTAACTCAATGCTCAGATATGTGGGGTTGAAGAGGCCTCAACAGGTGGATTGGTTGGTTTACCAAACTACGAGTATACATACTGTACTATTTCGACCTTAGATTCAAATTTGATGGCATCAGTCGTGTCCGAAATGGCCGATAAATTTTGTTTTGAATTAAGGCGATTTTTGCACACATCAAAAAAAATCCGGTGTGACCGTGACCTGAATCTACGGTTGAAATAGTACAGTACTGTCCAGTCAGCGCGCATTGTAGAGAAATTAGATGGAGTGAGGAAGACAATGGTAGGAGGAAAAAGTTTGCATGGGAACAGGGAATTGCCCAACCCCGAGTCGAACAGGGACCTCCTGCCCACACATTGTTGCACAAAAGGTAACACGGATGCACACCATGTGCTATCAGGTATTTCATCCTTGTTCAACCTCTCGATATACTTCAGCAAATCTGTTGTCTAAGCAAACAGGTTTTAAATACTCAGTTTCAATTAATTTTCAGGAATTTTGGTTGAGAAATATGACGGTGGTAAGGAAGGATCACAACTCCTCGCAAAAGAAAAGTGGTGAGAAAAGAGCCATCACCCGACCCCGAGTCGAACGGGGGCCTCCTGCTTACACTCCATCAGTCCCTTGCAAATGAGAGCAGGTGCACACCGTGTGCTATCGGGTGTTGCTCTCCCTACTTCAACCCTGGACTCATGTGCGAGCACAAACTGGCGGTCTGGCTGAAAGCAAAATTGCCAAGTGTTTTGAATACAAACTGCATATTTGCCTCGGTTCCGATGAGTTTCGAAACATTGGTTTAAAAAAATGAGGGTGCAGTGAGGAAGGACCGGGATGAACGAAAAGGGCATCAATAACGAAATATCGCACGACCCCGAGTCGAACGGGGCCTCCTGCTTATACCTGATGGCCACCAAAGGTGAAGCAGGTGCACGCCATGCGCTATCGGGTGTTCTCCTCCCTACTTCAACCTTCAGCAAATCTGGTGGTGTGGTTGAAAGCGAAGTTCTCCAGTTAATCAAGTTTAGATACTGCATATTTGCCTCGAATCGGTTCCGATGAGTCTCGATCGAGAGGGGAATGGTCTGTGAAAGAGATGGGGGTGCACGTGGTGGGAAGGAAGGAAAGAGCGAAAAGGAAAACCAAAAGAAAGGGAAAACAGAAAAAAAGAAAAAGTCGAGGGGCAAGCCATATGGATCACCCGACCCCGAGTCGAACGGGATGGTGCAAGCTAGGTAACGCAGGTGCACACCGCGCTGTGTGCTATCGAGCATGCTCAACGAAGTACTTCAATACTCAGCGCTCAGCGCTCTGCCTACTCGTAGAATTTGTGTGGAAGACGAACAGAAAGGAGGAAGAAGAAGGAGGCCTGAGGCCAACGGCGGCTTGCAGAAAAGCTCGAGTGATTATAATTATGGCTTTGGTTATTTTTGTGATTGCGGGGGGATTACGGCAGCACGCGTCGAGCGTCCATGGCCACGGGTCTCGATTTATGTTATTGTTATTGTTATTGTTAGCGCGATGACGAAAGAAAGGTAACACAGGAAGGGAAGGGAAGGGAAGATCCGCGGGCGTGGGATGTATCAGCCGCAGGGGCGCAGTGGAAGGACAGATCAAATGGACGGGACAGGGAGGTATTTGTGGAAGAAGGTTATGTCCAAAACGGGTGGGGATAGAGTGGGGACGCGTCGCATGTCAGATTTTTGGTTTTTTTCTCTCTTCAGTCAATAGTGAGAGCGCAAACACAATAAGAGATGTAAGATGTGAGATCGATCGGCAGCCGCCAGCCGCCAGGGTCGCGGCAAGATAGGCTCGGATGAGGCACAACTTGTTCCGCAGAAAGAGCGCCAGCTGCGGGTAGGGCTTTCATTTGAGACCCGCGCTTCTCATTCCTCAATGCCAGTCGTTGAATTGCAACTTGGGAGTGGCAGATGAATGGAGAGGGATCCCGAGTAGTCTCAGCGGGGAGTTGGATTGGATGAACGAAGGGGAGGGGAGATGGATCGTGCATCTGGAATCCAGGTGGCAGGATCGAAGCGAAAGCACCATTAAAGCAGGGGTGATGCACCACGCGATGGCGTTTAATTTGCCGGAGGCGAGATCCAGCCGGTCTGCGGATAAGAGTTTTATAGCTCGCTGCCTCTCGTTGCCTCAGACGCTGTAGGGCATTGAAGTATTGAAGCCAGCAAGCGAGGAGCAACAGAGCAGGATTGTGGAGCGAGTGGAGCAGCAGCGAAGTGAGCCAGGCGGGAAACACGTTGTCGACAACAGCAAGAGGACGCCAGCTAGCATACATGTCGTAGTAGCACTAGCCCAAACGCCCTTTGTTTCAAACCACTCTTTGCAAGCGAAGAAAAGTTGAAGAAAAGTGAAAGAAGCGCAAGATCGCCCTGATGACGTCATCTGCCATCAACCAACGTCTACCACGCCTTCAAGTTCCTGCTGCTGACCCCGCCGCCGCCGACGCCGACGCACCCTGCCTGCGACTGGACACACCCACAACCATGGGCACACTCGTTGCCCCACCCCTACCGCTATCAGACTCGTCCGAAGGACTACTAACCGGGGCATTAAACGGAGCCCGGGACATGGAGGCTGCGACGTCGTTCAAGGACCACTTACTGGCGGTGCTCAGTCTGCACGACGCCCCGCGCGCCGCCGCGGCCCCCATCCCGCGGTACAGCGGCCCGAGCGACTGGCAGACGGACGCCATTTTGAGGAAGGTCGAGGCGTTATTGCGGGCGTCTGACTACCAGGCAGCCTCAAGCACCTCGTCTGTGGTGGCGCCGCTAACGACGCCGACGCCAAAGGCGACTGTGGCTGTGAACGGGAAGCGGCCCCCGACGCCGACGCCCGTGTTGGCGGGCCTGCCGCCTGTGCCGCACAACCTTGCCCCTTCAAATTTACAATATTCCTCACAACCCAATGTAAACGGAAGCACCACGAACGGGCGCAGCTCGCCCGACTCGGAGGCGTCGTACATCACCGCCCTCGAGGATGATGTCGACGCGGAGTCGAATACCACCACCACCACCACCTCCCCCTCCGCCTCCCCGTCGCTCTCCTCCTCCGCCTCCCCTTCCACATCGACTCACGCCGGACCGGCAGCGTGCCCAACCTGCGGCCACCAGCCCAACCGCTACGTGAACCACACCGGCACCTCCCCCCTGCGGCCCTACCCGTACGCCTACCCGTCGTACGCGCGCACGAATCCGAACGGTACCGACGCCGACTTTTCCGACGGGGGTGCGTGCTTAGTGCTTCTTCACTCCCTCCTTTTTCTTTTTTATTTTCTTTCGGATAATAACGACGTATATATGTTATTGTAGGCGGCTCCCGCACGCACACCCCCAACACCGCGAGCGGGGAATACAACCCCTACGCAGAGAGCCCCGGCGTCGTCCCCACGGGCGGCGCGTTAGCGAGCGCGGCGACGCAGGGCGGGATGGACGCGTTGGAGGAGTTGAGGTTGTTGAAGGATCAGGTGGGTTTCGACTTGTATTTTTTTCTTTCTTTTTTTTTTTTTTGAGGGGGTTTTTTGGGGGCGGGGCGGATTCGAGCTCACTCGTTTGCGGCGGGCGTTTGCGCGACGGAACGCCCTTTTGCGTCGGCCGCGTCTTATCTTGATTTGGGGCACGCCGGATCCCGTATCTTGGCATCGCACTGACCTCTACCTATCTGGCGATCGCCCCCGCCTCTGCTGCGCCCGTGCTTGTATTCGTATTCGTATTCGTCGCGCGACGGCTTTTTTCTTCATCCTTCGTTCTTTTCTTTTCTTTTCTTTTCCCTTCCACCCGCTCTCCTCCCGCTCCACCTTTTCTCCCCACCCCTCCCTCCTTAAAAAAATACCTTACTCACCCCCAACCCCCCGTATTTTACATCTCACTCACCAACCGCAGGTCCGCGACGTCTCGCGCGTCTGCAACGCCGTCGCCACCGGGGACCTCACGCAGAAAATTACGGTGCCGGTGCAGGGCGACTTGATGGTGCAGCTGAAGAAGGTATGTGTGTTCTTGTGCGTTTTGTGTTTGGGTTGTAGATATAAATGAAGGGAGGGGAGGGGATGTAGCGGAGCGTTGTGCGGTTTTTGGGAGGGGATGAAGAGGACGGCGGGAGAGGGGAAGTGTGCAGGGGGCGCGAATGTGGATGTGGATGCGCGGCGCAGGCGTGCGGGCGTTTTTGGCGCCGGTGCAGGTGCAGAGGACGGCCGGGGGCGTACGTACGTGCGCGGGTACGGGTGGAGTCGTCGCACCCGCTTACACGGAGACGCGGAAATGTACGACGCGCCGTGGATGGACGGGCGTACCAGAGGCGTCTGCCGGTCGTGCGGACGTGCGGCGCGGTTTTTGGCCGGGGTGTGCGTGTGCGGTTACCACCGTTGCTCGCTTGCTCGCTCGCTCGCTCGCGTCGCACGGGGGGACTCGGAGGCAGAGGCAGAGGTGAAACTGCAGTCGCTCGGCGACGCGCGCGGCTGGCGGACGCTTTTTTGTTTGTTTTTTACCGTCTTTCCCCTTCCCCTCCCTCTCCCCTCCCTAAATAAATAAATAATAACACTCCCATACTAACACCCCCCCCCTCGTCGGCAGGTCATCAACACCATGGTCGACAACCTGGGCCACTTTGCGACCGAGGTGACGCGCGTGAGTCGGGATGTGGGGACTGAGGTGAGTTTTTGTGGTCTCTACCTTCAATTTCCGCGTCATCGAGCGCGCGTTGTGAGGGGGCTTGCGGTGGACGAGTGCGCGCTGTGAGGGAGGGCTCGGGGCACGCGCTGAGCGAGAGCGTCGATGGGCGGCGCGGTACCACGACCGTCTTCGCCTTCGTCGCTACTTCATTCTCTATGCATCCCGCCCTTGCTCTTCTTTACCCGCTCCCCTTCCCCTCCTCTCGCTCCCTTCCTCACTCCCCTTCTTCTCCCTCCGCTCCCCTTCCCGTCCCCACTCCCTTTACATTCCCATCCTTCCCGGGCGGAGGTGCGGCCGGTTGCTTGCGCGAACGTGGCGTGCGGGCGTTTTGTGGCGGATGGCCGCGCGCACCAGAGCCGCCTGCCGTTCGTGCGGTCGTGCGGACATGCGGCGGGGTTTTTCTGTGCGGGAGGAGCGACTGGGTGCGTGTGCGGTCACCGCCGCCGCCGCCGCCGCCGCTCGCCAGGGTTTGAGCGATCAGGGGAGGGGAGGGACACAATACTCGTGCTGCGGGAAACGCCGGCGCCGTCGAGGGAGTACGTACGTGGGCGGGTGCGGGTGGAGTCGCAGAGGTGTATGACGCACCGGCGGATGGACGGGCGTACCAGAGGCGTCTGCAGTGGCGCGCCCGGACGGCTTGCATCGTCGACGAACCGGCTCCGGGCTCGCAGCGGCCAGTGGAATCTGCGGCGGCGGTTTGACGGCTGCACGCGAAGCTTCTTTGGAGCCTCTCGGTGGGAGGGAGCGCGTACCCCGCGTCCTTTTGCGCCCGTTCGCAGCATTTCTAGTGATTGCTGTACGAAAACCACTGCCAGTGGCAGCAGTGCTGGTATTAAGGCGGATTGTTAGTGGGCACAAGGCCCTCAGAGGCGGGGTAGCCCCAAGCGATCAAAGGAGTCTTAGCAACCGAGTTTTATTGCTGTTTGCAAAATAGTTGGCCAAATTGCCTTTTCGAGAAAACATCAACATTTGAGTCAAAAAG